CAAACAGGGTATGTCTACAATTTTGCGTGCATGCCTCAACTATTCAGACATCAGACTGCCAATAACAATTTCTTGCCATGAATTTAAACCATCACTCGAACTCCATTATTTTTGAAATTTAATTTTTTGTTGATTATTAATTACTGCGCTCAGTTCCGTTGTCGTACGAAAGCGTACCATGAGTCTTTAAGGAAAAATCCGAACAATTTCAGTGTTTTTGATTAATTCTTCAACTTACTATCTAGTGTGCTGTCTTACCCGTAAAACTCTCCTTATCACCATTCACGTGTGATACGATCCACAGTCTACCGACAGCAAAGTGGTTTCCTTCCCTATACCGTTGTCACAAGGAGAATGCTTTAATATAGCCAAAGCTCTAGGCACCTGAGCTACGAGGCTCCACCGAACGACGCGATTTTAATTACGTTTGGGTCACCTTCATCCGGCCAAGCTTAATTTTTTATCTGTAATTTCGATCTTGTTTGTTTCATTCGAATCTTGTCTGGGAACTGGCTTTTGTGCAAATGATTACGTTTTCCCTCCAAATGTCTGTTTCGACGTTGTCATCGACTGAATTATAAGTACCGGTTTTGGACTTACAAACTACAGCTTATAACTTAATTGAAATATTGAGCCTTTAGAACTGCATTAAACTGCCGAACGTCGTAGTACTCCACATCATATGGCTGTGAACGAAAATAACAGCGACAAATAGTTATTAATCGCAGTTTGCTCCAAAGCATCGTCGATAACCAGCCGCTTTAATGTGCGGAATTTTATCCCGCCGTCGCTCACGTTTAATATACGATAGTGTCCGTGTGGAAATTTTGGCTCAATTTATTTTTAATTTTATGGCTGACACGCAACCAAGCGCAGGTAACGCATTTTTCTGCCGTCTGCGTTTTGACAAAATTCACTTAAATCTGCAATGCACTGAGCAAAATATTTCTCTTTAATGTAGACTTGAGACGTAAAACGTTTTGACATTTTGCAAAATCTCTGATTTTGACTAAAACCACGGAGTGCTAACTAGTTCTCGCTGTTTTTAGGATGCTGGCTAACTTTATAATTACATAAGGGCACGCAAATGCTTTTACTGCTTATTACCTAATTTGTACTAAATTAATCCCCAATAAAACCATAAATTCAAGTTTTGTTTATAGGGGAGAATTAAACCTTCCGCGCCTCATTCATTCGCCTTAGACCCCATAAGATGATGTTACTCTAACCGCGGCCACAGGATAACAGATTGGAACTCAAAGTTTTCCAGCAACTACTCCCTCTGAAACGTCATGCCTGATTTTAAAAATTCCCTGCAGCAGTTGCGTATACAAAGGTATATAAATGCTATTCAGTGGGGTTAACTAAGTAATTCTTATTTTTGACAACAGCAATTTATCGCCTGAACATCCCTCAGTGAAGATTGGAGTCATAGGTCCACTGAGAGGAATGAGT